ACCTATTTTATCCTACGCTAATGATGATAAATTGATTAATAATGATGCAACAAATAGTATATTCAGCCTCAAGCCGAATACCAAATATTCGGCAGGAGCGTGGCCAAATAGCTGAATAATCGGCCAAACTATTCGGCTTGATTAATGCACGTATGAAAATTGGCACACAAATCGCATTATTGCAAGGTCATGCACCCTGCTCTCTATTGGCTCACTGTCACTATGTTTCGCCAATCGTGTTAATTCTTGACAGTTGTAGCAGACAGACAAGAGCGTCATGGCAGTATGTGATAAATGATGAATTGTTATCAAATGAATTGTTATCAAATTAAATGATTTCATTGTTATCAAATGTGGATAACAATGAAATGACCTATACGTGTAAATACATTCTAGCTTAAGAGGATGAAGACCAGGGCCACTCGTAGATATTGCCTGGTTTGAAATGGATTAAGAAGAAAATAATTAAGAGAAGAGGCAAAGGGAAAAAGTAAAGTTAGATAGGAAAGGGGATGAAAGTGAAAGTCTCATGGACATCAGCATCGGTACATTATTTAACAAAATGCAAAATTGTTGCATAAGTAAGAGGTATATTAACAGTGTGACAAAATACCCTTACTGAGGGTGTTACATAAGGAAAGTGCAAATGGTGCAACAAGAGATATTTTACAGCAGCACCCTTTTGGGTGTGAAGCAAAGGATATAACTTGGAGTTACAAGTATATAATTGAAAATAACATGAAACTAATCCTGACAATGAGATGTTACATTCAGTTGTGAACAAAGAGGATGTAGAATTTAAGATCACGGCAGCACAATCTTTGCTGTTACAAAGTATTAAAATAGAACAATCTATATACACTATTTACAAAAAAGACAAAGGCACGAGTCTTAGGTTTAACACCTTGACAGATAATTTCCTGAAGGAGGCACATACAAATTTCAATTAATACTATTACACACATCTAGAGCACCAGTTTCTTTTATAAATGAATACAGTTCTCTGAAGATGTTTTTGTTGTATACAAGAGCACTAGAAGCACATGGCCAATTATAGCCTTCTAGGAGAACAGTTTGGTATAACTTGGCTCATTGCTGGTGATAGAGATGACAGTTGAAGATTAGGTGAAAAGTGTCCTATTGTGAGGATCCATCACAGTTGCAAGTGGAGGTGTTGCTATGGTGAAACCGTTGATGATAAGAGAGAAAGTTCCCGTGACCAATGAATAACTGACTTACAATAAAGTCCACTTTAAAATGTTCGCTCTTAAGCTTAATTGGGATGTTAGGAATCATCTTGTTGGTAATTCGTCTTGCTGTCTCTCCCTCCCAAAGTCTCTGCCACATATTAATAGTTGTTTGTTGGATAAGCGTTTTTATCAATACAATTAGAATGTCATGAAAACATGGTTCTGAAGATCTGTTAGCTGCCTCTTTTGCCCCTTTATCCGCTTCTTCATTACCTTGTATTCCAGTATGGGCAAGCAATTGTATTTTTATTATTTGCTAGTTCTTCTGAGATTTGGCGAAGTAAGCTGTTTTTATTTTTATTGTTTGAAATACTATGAAGAGCAGCTCTATCTGAGCAGATGCTTTCATGAGTATTGTTGATTTTGACATTGCTATTAACATATTGTAAAGCCTTCAGGATTGCCAAAAGTTCAGCTTGCATGATTGAGCAATGGGTTGCCAGTCGGTAAGTTTCCTTATGAATTTGTCTGTTCTTGTTCTTTTTATAGTGAATGAAAGCTGCACCTATATCTTTGTTAGATTTTGAACTGTCCGTAAATATCATATGAGGGAATTCAGTATCTTTGTTATTCAAGTAAACATTAATTTTAGTTTCTTTCGCTGGATGAAGACAAGATGGGGCAGTATTCCAAATGTCTGTATCCAGATTCGGCTGGAAAAGATTGTCAATGTTCAAGTTAGGAAGGCTACCAATATCTAATTAAGTGTAGAGATCCTTTTTCTTTTGATCTGGGATGTCTAGGTTTGACTCCAGAGTGCCCAATTAGCTTTAGCTTTTAAGTATAGCAGTGGGAGACCTGCCAGAACCTGGAGAGCAGCTGTAGATGTTGTCTTGTATGCTCCTGTTATATGTAAAAGACTAATCCATTGTATTTTTTGGAGCACTCTTTTTATATGAACCTTTGCAGAGACATTTCCCCATATGGGGGATCCATATAGTATTGTCGGTTCTATGGCTTGATTGTAAATGCTGGTCAAGGTAGTGCTATTCAAGCCCCACTTTTCCTCCCTACATAACAAAGGAGATGAGATAATTTTGGTACCTTCATACAAATGTAATCAATGTGGGAATTCCACTTCATGCTCTGGTCCAGGATAAGTCCAAGATATTTCATTTCCTTTGTGTATGGTATTCTAGTATTATTTATTTTTAATGGCAGTTTCTGAAGATGTTTACCTTTAGTCATGAGCAGGCAACTTGACTTATTGATGTTTATGCTCCAGTTGTTTACTTCTTTTAGTAACTTATTAACTTCAGTTTGCATTTTCTCACTATTCCTATGTGCCATCATAATCAGAGTGTCATCAGCGTATGCTTGTAACTACCATTGTGCATTTATATTATTAGGCTTGATGTTCAGAAGGCTATCATGCATGATGTGCCATAATCCTGGACTGGAATGAGATCCTTAGGGGCAGCCTCTTGTCATGGGTTGTAGTGGACTATCCCTGTCATATACACCAACCATATGATTATTAAGGTAATCCTTCACTAATAGATATAAATTTTTTGGGCACTGGAATGATTTAAGCTGTAGAAGTAACGCTGGCCACCAGAGTGTTAAAGGCATTATGATAATCAATAGAAGTAAGGAGGACATGATGTGATTTTTCCCAGGCATCACGAATAAATTGAGTGACACTGTGTAAAGCATGATAAGTAGATTTTTTGGGAACAAACCCATACTGTTTCAGATGTAGTAGTTGTTTACTGTATAAGTGAAAGTTGATTCTTCCTATAACAAGTCCATCCAAGACTTTCCCCAATGTGGGTAATAGCTTATTGGTCTAAAGTCATTAGCATTGCTATGGCTGGTTCTGCTTGTCTTTGAGATTTCCACACATCTGGAAAGCTGCAGCCATCTGCAGCTTTCCAGATGTGTGGAAATTGAGAGAGCTCCATACACTTACTGTATGTATAAATGAAAGTGATTGGTACGGCATTAAAAGTCTGCTTCACCATTTTAGCTGTTATAGTATCTATTCCTGGAGCTTTTTGTTTCTCATGGTCCTTATTGCTGTCTCAACTTTAAAAGTATGGAAAAAAAACAGAGAAAAACTGCAAAGTGAAAATGTGAAAATAAATATGAAATTGAGTTGATAACATAATTGAACAAGTCGAGGCAGCTTATTGGCACAAAATTTGCGGCCATTAATGCCAAACAATTGTTGTCATAGACTTCAGAAAGCTAAATGTTTGTAACGAAAGTCACTTAGCATGCATGGGTGAAAGTCTGGGACCATTTGGGCTACAAAGCTGTCTGGAATATGTGAAATCATAACTGTGACTTATACCAACAACCTATGTGTCTCTTTTCTCCATTATCACCAGGCTATGAGTCACATAACTGTAAAATGGGAAATCTACGACGGAAAAGTGATGGATTGAAAGTATCGTGTGCGCACATTATGATGTATGCATAGGCATAATTCTTTTACATACGAGTACATAGATGACTAAACTACGTAATAAGTAGGTAGATTTCATTTGATTTGTTACTTTTTTTTGACCTCTTAAAAAAATAGATTAACTTAGTTATATTACTTTTCCTTTGATCTTTTACATAAATAAGCAAAAAATTGAGCTTTCTTGAACTTGAAATGTATATTCAGTTAATAAATCATTAATAAAAGTTACCAAAATGATTAATTTACTGTGTTTTTGTTATTTCTTACTCCTGTTTTTAGGTATTCGGCTGAATAGTGAAACATAGGACGAATACATAGTAGTAACCGAATATTTGTTGCATCATTATTGATTAGTAGTAACCCTCATATCCAACAGTCTAATCTGCTCCGTTTATCTTCCTTTTTAGAAAAAGCTAACCTAAAAATTAATTTACAAAAACTGTAGTCCTGTTTTTTCACTCATTCGCAATCTTCAGTTGCCCACATTCTATATTTACAATAATCCTATAAAATATATTAATTCTTATAATGACTTCCAAGTCATTTTTGATCCCAAACTTACTTTCAAAAAACATGTTGATAAGATTATTAAATCTCTAGCTATTTGTTGTGGAATACTTTGGCATTTTTGCAAAACTATTTCTTAAAAAACAGTCTTACATTCCATTTATTTTGCCAATATTAAGTCTCTACTCAAATATTATCTGCAAATATGGGCTAGGGCTGCCTCTTCCCATTTACAAAAAATATTAAAAAGAGTTAGATGAAATATTTCATATTCTAAATAAATTCTCTTCCTTTTACCCCTAATGCTTTTACCCCTAATGTTGCTAGGTCCAGATTGGAAATTCCTGATTTTACGAACATATTAAATATTTTTATACAAATACTTCCATGGTTCTAATCTGAATGATTGGAACCATGGAAGTATTTGTATTTATGAGTCTAAGAGTTCTGTCATGAGTTACTCATAACCAAACTTACTTATTTACCCCACCTTTTAAGCTTTCCATTTCCTTCAGATCATTTTTCTATCAATCAGTTCAGAATATGGGCTATGTGGAACAATCTCTAATAAAGATTTTCTTCATTTTAAATGCATTTGTAAACAGTTACTTTATAATATATAATCATTTGTTTTTATTTATGTATATTTTATCATGTATTTTAATTATTATCCTTTTTTTATTTGTATTTTAATCTTTTATTATGGAAGTTATTTTCAGAGGGGAGGATATCAATTGTCTTATGACATTTCCTTTTGTATATGCAATAAATAAATAAATTAAATACATAATGGCAATAGTAAGAATTATTAAGAATACATATTTAATACTAACTTAGATTTTCTTTCTCCACTTGACATAGTTAATTCCTTCTTTACTTTTCTATTACGTTTTTTTGGACTAGATTCTGATTCTGTATCAGAAATATCTTTCTGCTTACTGTGTTTCCTACAGAAGGACTAATAAAATATTATTAGAAATCTTTAAAGTAAATAAATAATAGAAAATATATTTTCTATGTGCATCAAAAGCTTAGCTAAAAAAATAATTAAGCTTAATTTTACATTTATTTAAAATACTTTTATATATATTATATAAATAAAATAAAAATAAAAAAAAAACATTTATTGAAAGTAAAAATTGTATTAAATATTTTTCAACAACAAAGTTGATATGTAAAGTTTTATTATACACGTATACACAACCTTAATGTAGCACCTTCCTAAATAATTCCTCTCTCATAAAGTGTCAACAAGTACTTTAGAACAGATGTTCCTTATATATGTTANTGAAAGTAAAAATTGTATTAAATATTTTTCAACAACAAAGTTGATATGTAAAGTTTTATTATACACGTATACACAACCTTAATGTAGCACCTTCCTAAATAATTCCTCTCTCATAAAGTGTCAACAAGTACTTTAGAACAGATGTTCCTTATATATGTTACTATAAGAATCTGAATTACAGCAAAATATAGAATATACATATATATCCTAAGATTTACCATGCATCTTTGATAAAAGTCCAAAATAATTAAAAAACTGTTTTCATTTTGAAGTTTTACCAGTCAATGTTGGTAAATGTTACAATTGACCAAAACTACACAGTAAAGTTAATATAGGTTTATTGCACAAGGAACAAGCATAAATAGAAAAAAGATCACACTATTTGTATATTTATTTATTTCTGCTTCTTATTTACTTACACAAAATTTAATTAACTGTATTACATTGAAAAAGAAAGAAAGAAAAAAAAAACAAATATGGAATACACTCAAATTCCCCTATAGCAATATTTAGCAGAGAAAGAAAAAAAATAGAAGACAGATTTATTGTTATAGTGAGAGTTTTTAAAAAATATCCCCTTCTTCATCTAACATTGCTAGACTATAAATAGGGTTATTTGTATTAATTAATACAAAGTTAGACAAAATATTATAAAACTTATAGTATTAATAGTCTCTTCTAGTACAAGGTTTAAGTGATTTTATTGCAGATTATTTCCCCCAGTATATGTTAAATATCAAAATCCAAAATCAGTCAGAACCTAAATCTTTCTAGCAAAAATAAACCAAGAAGAAAAACCAAAAAGTAAAACTAATTCTAAAACAATTTCTTGAGGCAAATGCGTTTTGTAATTATTTTAATAAATGAGCCGTTCTTTTGAAAGTGATATAAGCCCACTTTTGAAAAAAATGACTTAATGATAGTTTTAGTGAGGCATAGATGTCTTCGTTTTATATTTATAATAACAAAAATCAATGATGTGCAATATCTTCATAAATTAACCCTTTCAAGTCACTCACATTATGTTAGGAAAAAAAGTTTTTTAAAAAATCATAGTAATAACTTGTGAGTATTCTTTGTATGCATAATCTGTTATAAGTGATAACTTCCATTTTTAAAAAAACCAAACATTGTTCATTACAAACGGGTTCTTAACTAAAAAAAAATAACATTGCTCTTATGATTTGTTTCATTTGTACTTTTAAATTGGTTCATTATAGCTGAGAGTTTGTTATAAGCAGGTTCATTATAAGTGAACACTACATTTTGGATTTTATCAAAGCAACTTGATAAATCTTAGGATATGTGTATAAATTCTAACTTTTACCAAAATTCAGACATTTTACAGTAAATATTTTTGAGATATTTTCAGTTTAGTGACAATTTCAGAGGGGAACAAATGATACCATTAAATCAAAATTTAACTGTATTTATATAATTTTAAATTTCATAAAGATTACAGAAATGGATACAGTAGAACCTCGAAAACTCGGCCTAATGTGGACCGAAGGGTGGCCGAGTTTGTGAAAATGCCGGGTTATCGGGAATGGGGTTAAAAAAATAAGTACGAGTGTTTCCTCAGAAAATACTGTACTGTACTTGTATGTATTGTTTACTTGAGAATATAACAGAGAATAAACTGCCCAAAAAAATACCCTTAAACAAAGGAAAAGTACGTCCTTTATGAAGGCATAAAGCCTTTACTACATGAAAATGAAAATTAATGAATACACTGTGTACAGTAATTTACCTGATAAGACAGACCACAGAAAAATACTTTATGAGAGCTTTTATACTTTTATAAAGCTGTCTATAATGAAAATTAATTAACTAAGGATTTTTTTGCCCTGCCAGGGTGTGGTCGAGTTATCCGGAGTGCCGGGTTATCGAGAGCCGAGTTTTCGAGGTTCTACTGTAATAAAGTATTAATTAGTAGACTACTACTAAATAAATCAGCTTATTTTAAAAATGTGAAAATTGATTTTTTTGTATCTAAGTATGACATTATTTTAATTTTGTTTAAACAAGAGTGATACTACAACGGGGTAAAGTAAACAACAAATGTACTGGGGAGCCTGTTACCATGTGTGCTTGCTTCTTGGAAAAAACAGAGCGTTATGAATGTTTTCAAACTTGGAAGTTCTTCTTCAGGTAACTAATAACTGTTAAATGAATGCAATTCAAATTAAAGTCAAATTGGAACACTATTCAGAATTCTATTGTATGGATATCAATAATGTCATTCAAGCATGAGCCCCTTTAATGGTTGTAGATTATCGTAAGTTCTTGTCTACGAGTGCCTGCCATGCAGTTGACAGGGTGATTTCATCTTTATGCCATTATCATATTCTATCAAAAAAATTCAATCTATCAATTATCAAAAAATTCTATTGTGTGGATATTGTTATTGATATCCACATGATCGAATTCTGAATGATGTTCCAATTTGACTTTAATTTGAATTGCATTCGTTTAACAATCGTTAGTTACCTGAAGAACTTCCAAATTCAGAAAAGTTTGTAACGCTCTGTTTTTTCTGAGAAGCACACTGGTAACAGGCTCCCCAGTATGTTTGTTGTTTAATTTTGTTTAACTAATAAATTTCAGTTAATTTCACTTTCAATCAAGAACCAATGATTTTGTTTCACAGAGTTATCAAAAACAATTCAACCTCAGCTTTATTCATAACAGGTATTAACTAAGTTGGAATAGCATAATATTTTATCATTCAGAATGGTGATCAAATATTTAAATTTTTTTAGCTTATAGTCAATTTACAATACTAAAATATTAATTATTCAAAAGATTCAAAAATCATCAAATCAATATATGATGTGCATCATCATTTCAATATAATCTATGTAATATGATAAGGAAATGACAATGTTCACTAAATAACTTAATTAAAAATACAAATGAATGTACATAAAAATAAAAATAAAATTTAATAATTAAATAAAAAGCAAAAATATACAGTTTATAAAAGATATAATATTTACTTTTAATTTAATTCCATCTTCTTCAGTCTCACCAATAATAGCTTTCATTTCTAATCCATTCATAAAGGCACATGTCACATGATAAGCTATTTTACATGTTTTCACCTAGTCAAAAAAGTTTAAATATTTTTATTAAACATTCTTAAATAAACTTTAAAATGTACATGGTATTTAACAATAATGAAAAAATAAACATCTTTAGTACTTGATTGCTTCTTGTTTGCTCTTTTGTTCTTTGGAATTAAGCAGAAAATTGCTATGTAGAACTTACCACACAAGCACCAAAAAAAGTGTTTGTATGATAAGTTCTCCACAGCAATTTTGAGTTTAATTCCAAAAATGAAAAAAAATCAACAGAATTATTATGAAATCATCACAATGCCAGCTGCCATCTTGTCATTATTTTAATAACTATAATAAATTAATTTTAATTTAGAATTTCTGGAAGAAAAGAATTGGCCCAGAGCAGAACTCCTGCTTATTGTGCAGATATGTTGTTATTTACACTAGTTGGAGCTCTGTAAGCAGGAGTTGTGAGTTTGAGTCCCACTCCATGCTGATTCTTTTCTTCCAGAAATTCTAAATTAAAATTTATATAAATTTTATAATTATTAAAAGATGGTAACATAACTGCCTATCCTAGACAAATACTTTATAGCTAATTATTATAGTCTGATAATAAAGCACATTGCCTAGTTTTAATTGTACTATCTCTGACATATAAAATATTCAAAAGTAAAATGTTATTTTTGTATGTATATGTATGTATGTATGTATGTATACATATATATACACACACACACACACAAAAATAACATTTTTACTTTTTTATATATATACTAGCTGCAAGGACCCGCTTTGCTGGGTTTTTATTTGTATATAATATAGTTTTTTTTATATATATAAAAGACTGTTTTTCTAAGTAATCTAGAATCTAGCTGCAAGGACCTGCTTCACTGGGCAAAAAGTAACGATAGTGACGATTAAGATAATTACATTATAGCCAATCTTACCCGTTTTCACAGAATGCAAGAATTAGGTCCCTCGTTTCCAGACTAATTAGAGAATTTTTATGTCCAGTCAAATGAACTATTTTCAACTATTTTCTGGAACATTTACAATCGTTCTATAATCGAACCAATTCGAATTTAAAACAGTTCAAACATTTTTAGAATCGAAATAGAAAATCTTTGAAGTCACCCACTTTAAGCCCCCATATCTCCCGCACCCTTATAGCTATCAAGACGCAATCACCATAGTGCACGAATGGAGACTTAGGGCTACTACCACATACAGTACAAACACCATTCATGTGCGATGTGTAGTTTTGGCTAAAAAGTGAAATATAGGGACACACATATCCATTTATATATATATATATAAAGTATATACACTTTATTTTTCTTAATATGAAACTTATGTTAAAAAAATTAAACTGCTTATATCTGTATATAAGCAGAATAATCTGTCTATAATCTGTGTATATCTGAACATCAATAGGTCATTATAATCAATTTATCTGTTATTTGAACATAATGTAATAAAAAAAAAATCTTGTTTTATCCCCAAGATGTTGAAAATTACTTATTTACAGATAATGTTTTTTCTTAAATTATTAAATAGTAACTTATTTTCTTAAATTACTTAAATAGTAAATGAGTAACTTTTGACTTTTATTATTCAAAACACTTTCAAATTAAATTAAATACAAAAATTCATTTTGGTATTTAATTCAACTGGGTTACATATATCTAAAATAAATTCCAGTGTTTCTGTTTCATGTTTCAATATAAATTAATCATCTATTATAGGAAGCAAATAAAAATGAATTATTGTTTAGTCTTTGCTTTTGTAACAGTTTTAGTAAAATCTTATATTTATTAGCTGAATATTCTATGATGACATAATATTGATAATGTTTATTCAGAAATAAATTTCTGTGTACAGGTAACCCCCATATAACACGGTAGTTACATTCCAAAAAAATTGCCGTGTTATGCGAATCCGTGTTATAAGAAACAAAGAACTAGTACGAAAAGGAGGGTTAGGTTCCAAAAATTAAAAAACATGCTAGTATATTTTCATAATTAAGATAAATATCTTCATTAAAATTTTTTTAAGTGATACATATTAATATAAATTAAACAAT